GACAGGGGAGCCACCAGGGGGCAGTGGTGAGCCACTGTGCTAGAAGTAGGACGCAGCAAAGTCTATAAAGATGAGGAGCCCAGGCTGAGAGTAAGATAGGAGAGAGGCAGGACTGCTGGCTGCTGACCCCACCTGCACCAGGTACGCCTCCAGATGAGCAGTGTGGCCTTGGTCCAGACCCAGGTGCTCATGGCTATGCCGGTTCCAAACATGGCAAACAGGTTGATCTTCTCCACCAGGAGGCTAGGGCGATTCTTGATCTCACAGTCAGGAATGGGCTTCTTGGTGGGCAGCCCAATGGTCACATTGGCCTGGCATCTATGGCGAAGAATGGTAAACAGTGAGGCTCCCTGAGCTCACTGGGTAGGTACCCAGACGATCAGTCCAAAGACTTTAGAAAGAGCTAAGCCCCACAGCACTGATTCTCAGTCCTGGGTGCTAGTTAAAATCCCCTGGGGAGCTTTTAATAGATAGCTACTGATGTCTGAGCCCCACCCTAGATAATTAAATCAAATCTCTGGTGCAGAGAGACCCAGGCACCAGCAGCTGGAACCTTTAAGAAGAAGCGTGAAGCAGTATGGGCATAAACTAGTGTCCATTTCAACGGGCACATGAGCTGCTATCCCAGGCGATGCACTTTTTGCAGCTGATATGCCTAATTCCCTCTGATTCATCCTCATTATGAGACAAAAAAAGCACAAGCAAGACTAGCAAATGTTAACAGGTTGTTAACCTTTTTTTTTTTTTTTATTGGTGGGGAAACATCAAGGGTACAAAGAACCCGGTTACCCTGCTTCCATTTGTTAGGTAAAGTCCCTCTTTTAATTTGTATGAAATGGCTTCTTAATAGTGACAAATGCACCAACCAGCCAGACACGGGTGCAGAGGGAAGGGCAAAGTTGAGCAGGGTCTAGGAGGTTGTTTGCCATGTTTGGCAAAGTAGAGAGCAACTGATGTCTCGGCATTCAGACATTAGCGAATCTGCTGTCAGAGGCAGGGACCACAGAGGGGCTGTCCCAGCAGTCCTGGCAGCAGTTCCCACCATGGCTGCCTCCAAGCCCCTCACTCACAGCACGTAGTCCCTGAAGCTGCGCTCCCACTCAGCCTGGTTGAAGAAGTCGTAGAAGTGGCAGCTGAAGGTAATGAGCACAAAGCCAAAGGCCAGGAAGCCAAAAATGCCTGTAGAAGACAGGGGCAGGACAGGACATTACCAACCCCAGGTACTGCAGCAGCAGTGGGAGGAGGCTGTCTGTCCCACTGAGGTCTGAAAGACTACTGAAGCTGGGGTAAGTTCAGGGAGGGTGGGTTCAGTTCAAGAACTGCTTTCTCCAAAATAAAGCAAGACGGGCACTGCAGGAGGGCCCAAGCGGGAGGACCATGGATATGAGGAAGCAGTCTTAGCATGAACTTGAATTCTTTCACCTGAGAAGGCCTTTTACACACATACTCCTTAACCTGTGTCTGTGTCCCCATGGCTGCTAACTGTTCCAGTGACTTACTGCATCCTGCAGGTCCTAGAGTTCAAGGAGGGTGCAGTGTCGGGCTACCCAAGGACATCAGAGTAGCTTCCCAGGGCCACTCACCCAGACGCAACATGGTCTCATTGATCTTGCTGGCAGCCTTCTCACTCAGCAGCCCAGGGTGGTTGCTCTTGATGGAGAATAGAGTCATGACTCCTGAACAGAAGGAGGACCTCAGACTTTAGAGGGCTTGATGCCACTTTTCTGGGAGGGATGGGTATGCAGGGGGGTGGGGTGGCAGGTGGGGAGAGAGTCCCACAGCCCTGGAGTCCCAAGTCTGATTGCACCTGTATTGATTTAAAGCTTAGGGAACTGGAGACACAGGAGAAACAGAGAGCTGCTGGTAGCAGATCTGCCATGGACTGGGACGACTGGGACAGAGCAGATAGACAGTTGGGAAAAGACAGAGGAAGCCTCAGTCCTGGCCCAGCTGCCTCTGAGTAAGGCAGCCAGGTCAAAGCTGTTCTGATGGAAAAGGCATAAAACAGACTCAAGAAAAACACTGTCCAATAGAAATACCATCTTGAATTATCTAGTAGCCACATTAAAAAAATAAAAAGAAACAAGTGGGACAAATCTCAATAAACCTAAAATATCTGAACTATAATTATTTCAACATATAATCCATGTAATAAATTATTAATGAGATATTTTGTATTAGTTTTTCATGTTAAGCCTTTGAAATGCAGTATACATTTTATACTTAGAGTACATCTTCCTTTGGTCTCATTTCAACACATGTGGCTCATGGCTACTTTACAGGACAGCACAGACACAGAACATAAATCAGAGGCCCAGACACTGCCAAAAAGAAGGGAAAGAGGTGGGCTGGGCAGAAGGCTGGTAGTTCAGGGTAAGGAAATGCAAGTTGACAAAGAAAACCTAAGAACAATGAGTTAAATAGATAGCAAGAATTATCATGGGGTGGCAGATTGAGACAGGGAAGTCAGGGACCAGTGATTCTGTGCATGTTGTGAAAACTGTGTGTTTATGTGTGTTTGAGACAGGAAGACAAGGGAAACTAAGCTCCAAAAGATTGACAGTATACATAAAATCAATAGGCACACATGTGACCAAAAGCCCCAAGTTGGTCCACATAGACAGAGTAGGTTTCTCAGGGTGCTCATCACACAGCACTTGGCTAAGGGCTGACTGGAGCTGGAACCTAGCCAAAGATCCACTCAAGAAGCCATGAGCCCTAGGCCAAGGCTCTGGAGAAAATAGTGGATTTTTCTGGCCACAAAAGTTGCCATCCAAGTGTTCATGGTGCTATGTCTGCCCAGAGGGGCACCTTCTTCTACTTTGCACCAAAGCCCTGTCTGAGCTAGTGGAGGTCTCAGAGCCAGGGCAGCAGAGCCGGCAGCTCCCAGCTCCTACTTACACATAGCAGGTGCTCAGCACATTCTGTTGCCTGACTGGTACTGGCCTGGCCTTCACTCACCTCGGATGAGGAAGTAGCCTCCCACAATGAGCACCAGGCCAATTGGGGCCAGCACAAAGCCAGCACGGTATCGGTAGTTCTTGTAGCCAACAAAACAGATGCCGCTCACGGAGTCCCCATCCACCTGTGGCAGGAAGGGATGGGAGGGACAGTCAAGTCATTAGCTCCCTCCCCTAAAACCACCTTCTGCATGTCCCCAGCCCCTTACCAGTCACTATACCTGGGCCACAGCAAGGATTGCCACGGTCAGGACGAAGGGGAGTGACCATGTGAGCAGATGGAAGTAGGAGGTCTTGCCTGAGAGAGGCTGGTAGGTGGTGCCCAAGGCTTTGAAGGAGGTGTGCCAGGCATAGGTGAGGACAACAAACCAGACCACACCAGCCATCAGGGCGTAGTACACGATGACAAAGATGATGACGCAGGACAGGGTCTCATTGGAGCTGTGCAGACATGTGGGGTGGCACTTGAGGTCACTCTGTACTCCCTGTACCTATCTCCACCCTGTCCCCCAAGCATGGGTTGCTGAGGTCTGGAGTTTCCCAGAAGTCAGGGCTTAGAGACAGAACCAAGGTCAGACTCTAGAACAGTGGTTCTCAACCTTCCTAATACAGTTCTCTAATCCTCCCTTTACTACAGTTCCTGTGGGTTGCAACCCACAGGTTGAGAACTGCTGCTCTAGAAGTTGCCCCTTAGAGCACCTCAAACAATCAAGTCCTGATAGTAAAACCAAGGTCCAACACTGGAGACTTTGAGTGCAATCAGGCAGAGCTGGATCCTATCCTGAAATCTCAGTGTCAAATGCAAGCTGCCCCTCTTGTAGTAAACACACATTCTACCCCACGCCCTCACCTCTGGGTCCCCAAGACACCTACGTGGGCTCTCCAAGCCTCATGGTGCCATCTGCACGGCAGACAATCTCCCGGCGGGCACCATCCATGAACTGGGCCAGCCAGCCGATGCTGCCCACAAAGAAACACGCGTTGACGTAGAAGAGAATAACAGCAGGGTAGCGATTGGAGTTCCGCCAGTCAGCCACAAACGTGGCCTGGAAGAGAGAAGTGGGGCCGTTCTGCGAGGTGTCGTTCTACTGAGGCAAACATCTTTGTCTAAGCCGGAACTGTCTCTGATCATGACTTGCCCTGGGGACCGCCACCACCTCTTCCACTCCACTCCTTCTGGCCCCTTCCCACTTTCTAGGCTAAGGGTGACCCACCGCCTGCCCCACCCAAGTGTGGCCTGTCCCCCAGCTGACCAGGGTGAAGAGTGTGCACAGGCCCGTGACAGCCCCAAAGGCCGCGATATAGCTGTGCATGTCCTGGTGCTCGGCCTCCGTGAAGAGAGGGTTCTGGCACTGGATCCCGCAGCCCTCCACATCCTCATACCAGCTCTTGGGGTTGTCAGTCCGAACCAAGGGTGCTTCGCACTGGCCCGAACTGTTGAACTTGATGTTCTGGACCTCATTCTGGCACCAGGAAGAGCAGGGGGAGGAATGGTGTAAAGGCAGCTCAGGGGCAAGCCTCTTGTTTGGTGAAAGGAACCTGGTAGCATGGCATGGTGGCAGGAGACACACTTCCAGGATTCAAGTCCCAGCCCAGTCACCTAATGGCAGTGTAGCCTTGGGCAAGTTATTTGATCTCTCTGTACCAGTTTCCCCATCAATAAGGCAGTAGTGCCTACCTCATGGTATGACTTAAGGATTAAATGAATCAATACATGTAAAACCTTCTAATGGTATTTAGTAATAGTATTATTACTATCATTATTACTATTGTTATTATCATTTACAGTCTCTCCCTCACCTAGAACTACATCCTGTCCCCATCTTGGTGGCTCCAGCTGTTTCACACATGCATGTCTTTTTTTTTTTTTTTT